GGTCTACACAATATACGGCACATGGTGTCCAAAACATTCCAAGATAAACTATGCGCAACAAATAAGATGCAGCAACATTAGGAGCAGCATTGTCAGTGACAACCTGTACAACAAGATGCTCCCCAACCTCCTTGATTCCCTTATGTATCACTTGAAATATGTAATGGGCATCATGGATATGATCAGAGGCAACAATAGACCTAAAAAAAAAAGTCCCTACAGGACAATTCACAAGCAAATTCATCTGACTTCTTCTCTTCCCATCACTCCAAGCATCAACTATAATAGAAACCCCATACTGAGCCCATGCATCCTTCTTAAGTTCTACAGCTTCCTTCGTGGCACTCACTGCCATTTTTAAAAAAATCTCTGAAAGCTCATATGGGGTTGGGTGTTTCATCCCAAGGCCAAATTGGCCAACTGCCTCTATCGCAGCATAGAAGCTGCTCATGCGAGCGGTATTGAAAGGAATGCCCGCCTCATAAAACTATGTAGCCAAATAATATGCAGCACTATCTCTCTCTTCCTTCTTGATTCTATTTTCAAAAGTGGTTTGCTTTTTTGTTTTCTCTCTTGCAACCTCAGGGTCAGGCCGAGGTAAAAAGCTATCCATAGGGCCTCTAACCCAAGGATTCTTTGTCCCAGAACCAGAAGCAACTACAACTCCCTTCCCCTTTCCCCTAATAATAGATTGCTCAACCTCTTGACATCCCTCCCTAATCCTTTCCTCATCACTATCATCATCATCATAATTGACCCGAACCTCAGACCTAATATTTGCTATAGCGGCAATTCTCTCATCTTTTATCATTTTCACCATGTCCAAAAATTTCTTTATTTCCTCTTTAACAGCATCAAGAGTCTTTTTACATGAGGCAACATCCCCCCTGATACCGGCAAGATGTTTCTTGAACCGGTTTACGCCCCCTTTTGTATCCTTTTCACAAAACTTACATCTTATGCAATTTTTATCATTAGGATCTGGGTTATAGTCGTATTTCCAACCGGGATCACCACTCCTATTAGATCCTGAAGAAGACATCTCAAAAATAATGCAAATTACTAAAGCAATAAAAAAAAATCACTTACTTTGAGTTTGATTGCTCAATCTTCAAACTTCCACCTCAAAAAGGCTTCTAAATACTCAAAATCTTCTAAAATACCCACTAATAACTTGGCAAAACATGAAAAAGTAAATATAACAACAATGGGAGATGTTTTGATCAATTTTGGTTAACTTTGAGTAACCCTTCGATCTTAAAAAATTCACCACAACCTAGTTTTTTGGTGGTTTTCTCTCTCTAAATTTGGCTCAAACAAGGTTTAGGTTTCAAATGAACCTAAAACCCTAATTTTTGGGGCTTAAAAACAAAAAAAAAGACTCAAAATACCCTCACGGTTTTTTTTTTCCGCCCCTAGCCGAGGCATCGGGTGCCCGCCTAGGTGGGTTGTACCACCTACGCGGCCACCTAGGGACAAACCACCCAGTTTGGCCGCCTAGGCCTGGGCAATGCGCCCAGGCCTTCTGGACCGCCTAGGCGCTAGACGGTCTGCTTTTTTAATCTATGCCCACAAATGTGGGGGCTGGATCCTTGGACTGCACATGTGCTATACCAAGTAGGTTTCTGAAATACCCTTTAATGAAAATTGCAATAGAAATAATATTTTAAATTTTTGAAAAAATAATTTAAAAATCATAAAAACATTTCTAATGCCAAAATAAATATACTAATAGTGGACTACTACCAATACGTCAAAAAACAATGACAATAAGAGCACTCAACTCATCCCAGAAACCATGATCCACTATAGTTTTCTTATCCAACCCAACAACGACTCGTGACCCAGCGAAGCTTTTGGCTCCCCCCCCTTTTCTTTTCCAATTCCTCCTTTTCGTTCTACTTACGTTAAGTGGAGCAATCCGAACTTTCGACTCTATTGGGCAGCAGCAAAAAACCCTCAAGACCCACAATCTCAACGAGTTTATGATCGGCATGTCAAAGTTGGATAATAAATAGTGAGACCATGATCTTGGAATGTGGATTTCTGGTCTCCCATTAAGAGCAAGTCTAACACTTGTCACCACAATGCAAAGGGAGATCTCTCTATGCACATGCACATGCGTCCTATAGGGCTGTTTCCCAGTACTGCGGTTGTTATGTGTACATGATATGTGGAAGTTTGTTGAAGCATTGGCTTCTTCTTTCACAAGCCTACAACCACATAGGAGACCACACAATTCTCCTGACCTACAAGCACCATCCATAGGCATCTCTCCGAGCTCAACAAGAGATGACCCACTGCAAACCCTTCTCGGTTGTGCCACATGCCTAGGGTTAGGGTTTTGGACATGACCAGGGCCATAAATCGTCAATCCTTGATCAGTCAACACACACACTCTCCCACAAAAGTGCATATTTCACTATAAAAAAAACATATTTACAAGCTCTCTAGGCTTTTATAAGCCACAAAACCCAACATTTAATGTGGTCTCTTGGGCTGCAAGCCAAGATTTAGTGCCTTGGAGACTTCAACCAATTTTTATCAAATACATGCTCACTACTTCATTGTCTACCTTATTCAAGCATGTATGGAGGGGGCAAATGACTTGGCAGATAGACTGGCTGAACTAAGGACAATGGGCTCTTGCGTAACCAAAGGCATGTTTGATGATTATTAGAGCTGATCATGACCTACAAACATCGGACGCCACGGTTTTGGTACATGTATCCCCTCCTCACAGCTTGAGTTATTAATCTTGCAGCTCTCTACTCGCTCCACTCTTTGCACAACCCACTGTACTTTTTAGGGGAACGTGACTCTAGGTTTTACAGGGTTGGCTATCTACAGACCACTTCATCCTATATTTACTTTTCATCCCCATTCCCTCCCCATCTTGGCCCTTCGCCTGCTCTTAGCAAGGTTGCGGTTCATTTTTGTACAAATCAATAGTTCTACATGCCTTAAAAGTTTATATTAATACATTACCATTAACTTTTTCTCCAAAAAAAAATAAAGGAATGGATTTATTGGATGGTCATGGAGAAAGAGATTGAGAATAGAATGTGCTGAGAGACATTTCTTGACAGTAAACACAATAAGAGAGATGATCTGGGAACTCTAAACTTGCTCAGTCCCGCAAAGAGAGATTTTATAAATATATGAGAGGGGGAAAAAGCCATAGAGAGAAACTCAAAGTTATGAACCTATTTCCACTCCCTAAGTAATATAGATAGAGGTATGATTGTTTCAAAATAAATATTACAGGTTTAGAAAACCCTACAATAGCTCACAACAAAGTTGATGCATTCAGCTCTCGACACAAAACATTGTATTTAGATGCAGCTTTGGGTGGTCGAACGCTCAACGCGAAGATCTCTTTGATATTATGATTTCAATGAAGTATTCCTAATTCAGGTATCTTGAGCTCCAAATTGTGATCAGAAGTTTGTAACGACTTTAGCCACAAATTTTAGGTCTAGCTAGGGTTTTTAATTTTTAGTTGAGGTCAAAATCCTCCCTATTATAATTTAATTTATTCTTGGTTTGGTTAAGAGTTTCCTTATGTTAGTTGAACTCTAACTTATGCTTTAGTTTCCTATGATTAGGTTCCTTTATGTTAAGTTGTGATTCCTTTTTGTAATTGGAGGTTCGGTCAAGATTGGGCTTCCTTATAGTTCAAAGTAAGACAGAGTTTAGAACCACAAGCACATAAAATCTGCTTCTGAACATAAGTAGGATGCCAATCACCAGAAATGGCTTTTAATAATAAAGTTTGCTTCTTTCTAAGCTTGGATATTGTTGATACCATATTTTCATCGTGCTGAATTCACAACCCTTCATTATGCTGATTCCATGAAACCCTAGTTCTTATATGGTGCCAATCCCCCATACTAGTCTAGGTCCTTCCCCTCTCCATCCCACCTCAACTTTGTGTGGTGCCTATTTGTAAAAATTTTGGGTCCTTTCTTTCTTGTCATTCCACATCTCCCATACCCCATAAACCATCCATGAAAACCCTAACACCTATGTTTCAAACCTACCTCATAAACCCTAATCTCAAATCACATCTTAACATAAATCCTTCTTCTTCTTTTTAAAACCTAACAAGTGCATCTTCTTTTTGGTCCTACATCCAAAGAACATGTGCAAGATGCGGCTTGGGTGATGATGATGATCGAAAGCACATGTGCAAGATAACAAATGTTGGAAAAGTAACCCTCACACAGATGATGAGAATAGGTGTAGGGGCCAAATAGATGTAAATGGAATGAAACTTTGTCTTTAGTTTTTGAAGACTTCAAAATTAGCATTGTGTTTCCTTGCGATGAATGCCAATGTTCAGCCCTTAACAACACTCATATAAAAGGGTGCCACAACACTGCATCAAAGATCACGATATAAAACAGAATCCATTTCACATTGGAGGTTGTCATATTAGAGCTATACACTGCTTGTTCATGGAACTTGTTTGCAACTTGTACCACATAACTAATGTGTTTCAATGCATGCATGTTGATGTCATGAGATACTCCATATGCTGCTCATATAATTTTACTGATCTCCCTAATGATGATATAATGCTAGTGGCATCGTAAGACATATCAACCACATAATGATATGATAGATAAGCAATCATTATATGCTTGAGGTTGCTCTTCCTCAAGGTGTACTGGGGTAGGCTACAAGAGGAAAAACTCATCATAAGATGTAATAGAAAAATGAACCTAAATATGCATGGTGAACATAGTAACTCAACAATTATGATAAGTTTAGCTCCTATAATGCATAATAACATCCGACTGTATATTCCTTTCCTTTTATTTGATGGTTAGTTCCTGCTGCACATTCCAGTATGATTTAGTAATAAAATGGAAGAAGATTTATTAACAGCCATTATAATCAGAAAGGAGGGTTGTTATGAAGCTCACAATATGTCAACCGTATATATTAACAGGCACATAAAAAACTCAATTCATCCAGAAAACAATATGCCTTACCTGTTGGAACACCACAGCCAAGCAAACAGATTTTCTCCAAGGGAGCTTTTGGATCAACTTTGGCGATACTAACATCATGCACAACAGAGTATTGGCTGAAAGTTGATGTCCCCATAAAGTGATAGATAGGCTTCCCATTTACAGAGAAGCGGCTCTTACGATCCCCAAACATAACACCAGCGCCAGTAGCTTCACGAATTTTGCCACAGAGATTTGTCTTTCCCGACTTGCAGAACTTGCATTCTCTACATTCTGCCAGGTAACAAGGTATAACGTGATCTCCAGGTTGAACCTCTATTACACCTTCACCAACGCTTTCCACAATCCTAGACGTGTATAACTATCAAATTTAATACTTTGTTTTCCAAAATAGAGAGATGACAAATGGAACTTTAACATTGAAAAAAACATACCCAGCAGCTTCGTGGCCCAGAATACATGGGAAAAGACCCTCAGGATCCTGCATAGAACAATTCAGTAACCAAAATCAATGAGTGAAAAAGAAGACAGAAATATGACAAACACAATATAATGGGACATGGTAATCCAACTTTGGAAAATGATCATGCACCAATATACATAACAAGCTCTATCAAGAGACAAACTATCAAGAAACCATCAAAATGACAACAATCAAATATCAAGGTTTCAAAAAACGCTAGGCGGCCCCTAGGCGGCCTGCCTGGGGCCCAGCACCCAGTGCCTAGGTGGGCGCCCAGAACCTCGGGCTCCTCGTAATTTAAAAAAAAAGAAAAATGCCTAGCCCGCCTGGGCTCCCGCCCAGGTACATCCGCCGGTGTAGGGCCGCCTGGGTCTAGGCAGGCGGATTTTTGGTCCAAGCCGCCTAGGCGCCAAGCGAACTGTTTTTTAAAACATTGTCAAATATATGAAAAGGTCAATCCACATGCCTATCATATGGGACAGTTACCAAAAGAAATGTAACACATCTAAGACAAGGCCCATCTCCTGCAACCCCAGCTTGTGCATGAACTTAGGATGCATAATAGTTTCATATTCTAATTCCTTATTCATTTGTATAACGTTGAATCTTGTCTTAATTTTGTAGATTTATTACGCTTAAAAGTGTTTCTTCTCACCTCATGGATGATATGTATAATTCACAGAAAAGTCACACTCGCTGATGTTTCCCTTCTACAATTATGGCATCAAATAAAAAAAACAATTGTTGCCAGAAAACTCAAGACAAAGATATTTCAGTGCATGCCAAGGGGCTCAATACCACTAGAGGCTGGTAATACATCCTCTAAGGAGATGGACAGGCTCACCTGCCCATGAATGTTGTCGAAGCCAAGTCACCGGTGGGGCTAAATCATGGGGCAAACTCCACCTAAAATAGTAACGAGGTTAGCCAACAATCTGTTATGACTATCAGCCCCTAACAACAGGTACTTGTTTCAGTTTGCACCTCCTACTCCAGTAAACTGGAGCTATTAAGGCATCTCAGATAATTCCATCACAAAAAAGACAATGTTTGCAGCTCTCATCCCCCCAGCTGTGGACAAGTGTTTAAAAACTTTGCTCAAGACAAGGGAGTTACCTGAGTCACATCAGCTCAAGTAAATCCTGAGTCTAGAAAATAAGTGGAGTCTTATAAAGAGTTTAATGTACGACAAGAGGGTACTAGTGTGACACGAGAGGCAGATTTAGAAGGGATTTGGGGTAGGATTGGGAGTCCTAAATCCAATAGGATTTTTGAGCTAGTTTACCTAGGTTTTGGTGAGGTTTGGCTAGTGATTTATGGAAAGGTCTATACGAGTGACAAGTCTGGTTATAGGGGGTCTTGGGTGGGGATGAACTCCTATCGTTGGGCATACCCCTTTTTATTCTCCTAACAGGAAAACCCTAATTTGGGTTTCAATGTGGCACCCTTATCTTATAAAATTTTGGGTGGCAAGACCCTATCTAGAAGGGAGGAGAGAGGAACAACTTTTAATGATGAGAGAGAGATTTGGTGAATGAAGAGAGAAATATCATTTTTCTTAGAGAGGTACTCAATGGTGTTTAAATAGAAATAACTCTATTTCTTACTTGGGAGTAGGATTTCATCTACCTTATCTTATTTTCCAGCTTGACCTTTTAGGATAATTAGGAAATTTGTGGAATGAGAGAAATTGAATCAGAGTCATCCATCCCACAAATTAGCCATCATGATTTTGGGTGGAAATTAAGAACCTTATCCCCTTAATAATTTCACCTAAATCCAACTTCTGTTTAAAATTTAAATAAAAACCACTTTTAGCATTATCTAGATCTTCCATAATCTTTAGGAAGTCAGAATATCATATTTCTTTAAAACTCCCACTTGAATGGAAAATCAAATCTCTTTTAAAATTAAAAGATTCCCCATCCAACTAAAAGATGGCATATTCTAAAAAAATGGGGCATGCCACCCTAAGGGATTACGTTGGCCCCACACATGGATGGCACACACATGTCGGGACTAGATCCTCGGTCCTCATATGTGCTTTCTCATGTTCTGAAAATTTCAAATATGCCCTTTTAATGAATTTTACAACAAAAATAAAATTTCAAAAATCTGAAAATTTGTAAAAATCATAAAACATTTCTAATACCAAAATAAAATAATTTAGAAGTGGACGGGTATTAATGGGTCAAAATTAGCGACAATAAGGACATTCCGCTTGACCCAAGAACCATGATCCACTACTCTTTTATTATCCAACCCAACTAAGACTCGTGACCCACAATCTCAATGCAAGGGCTCATGATTGGCTAATCAAAGTTGGATAACAAATAGTAGAACCATGATCTTAGAATGTGCACATGCTACACGGACGATTGTTGAGGCTTTAGCACTTGCGCTCATAGGCCTACAACCGGACAAAGGAGACCACACAGTTCTCTTTGCCTATAAACATCATCCTATGCATCTCTTCGACCTCAACACGGGACGACCCATTATAAGCCCTTATCGGTAGTGTCACATAATCAAGATTATGGGGTTTGGACATAACCATGGCCATATACCACCCAACCCTTAGCCAGTCAACAAATACACTCTCGCTGAAGTGCATATTCCACTATAAAATATCATTTTTACAAGCTCTCTAGGCCTTTAAAAGCCACAAAACCCAACATCTCCCACTTGGCCCTTGAAGGTCGTAAAATCACTTCCTCTCATTTTCTCTCAAGCCGAACCCATATGCATGTTTGGTGAAAACATTTTCCACCAATCTTTTTGTCAAAGGATCTTTTAACATAGCCTCTGTCAAGAGATAAGCAATATGAATCTCTCTTGCTCGGATCTCGTTGCAAATGTGGTAGTAGCACGGCTTTATATGCCTCCATCTCTTGTGAAACCCGGGCTCTTTTGTCACACAAATACCTGCCGGGTTGTCGCAGATGATTGTAACACACAGGCACTTCATTGGATCAATTCTGACTTGATTCAGGAGTTTCTTCAACCAGACTACTACTTTAGTTGCAAGGCAGTAAGCCACATACTCTGACTCCATAGTCGAGAGTGCAACAATATCCTGTTTCTTTGAGCACCAAGAAACAGCTCCACCTGCAAACGTCAAGATAGATGCGGATATGGACTTCATCTCATATGGATCGCCCTGATATTCGGCATCTAAATATCTTTGTATTTGTATATCCGAGCTTCCTCCATAAATGAGTGTATAACTTTCTGTTCCCCTCAAATATCACAATTACTCTTTTGATGGCCTTCTAGTGCTCCATGCTTGGATTACTCTGGAACCTAGTAATCAAACTCATGGAAAAAGATAAATCCGGTCTTGTCCCAGACATAGCATACATTAGTGAGCCAACTGCACTTCTGCATAGAATTCTCTGCATGGCTTCCTTTACTTCTGGAGTAGTGGGACACATGGCTAAGCTAAGCTTGATCTTCTTATCTATGGGCAGGCAATTTTCCATTTCAAATCTTTCAAGAATTTCTTACAATATATCTCTTCAGATAATTGAATAGTTCTCTCTTCTCTATTCCGAGTAATTTTGATTCTCAAAACATATGATGCTTCCCCAAGATCCTTCATATCAAAATGTTGTGCCTAAAAAGTTTGTCTCCAATATGAGACTCATCGAACTACTGGCATTTAACATGTCATCCACATATAGAGAGATGAAAACAACGTCACTCCCATTGACCTTGATATATCTACAGTAATCCTCTTGGTAGGCACAAAACCAGCTGATGACAAGGCCTCGTGAAGCTTAATGTACCACTACCTTGATGCCTGTTTAAGGACATAAGGGGACTTATTGAGTTTATACACTAGGTTTCTTCTTCAATTTTCTCATAATATTCTCCTAGATAGGTGAAGAACTATGGTTTTCTTCTAATTCAAGAGAGATGGTTTGGGATCTAGGGCCCAACTCGTGTCACTTTCTATCTCATTAGACTCGACTTGTTTCAGAGTGGCACGACCCTCAAGGAATTCTTCCTCAAGGAAATGGGCATCCTTACTCCCAAGGACACCCCCTTGGTCAGGATTATAGGAACGGATCCCTTACCATGTGGTGGGTATCCTATGAAGATGGACTTAACAGTTTTAGGATCTAATTTTGTCATATTTTGATGGGATATTAGGGCATGGGCAGAGCATCCCCATACTCTGAAGTGATCAAGGGAAGGAGCATGACCAATGAAAATCTCATGAGGAGTTAGTGGGACTACTTTTGTGAGAGTCCGATTAACGATACAGTTGGTTGTCAAAACAGCTTCTTCCCAAAAATCTGGGGAGAGTATAGTATGTCCTATCATGCTCACCATTTCCATGAAGGTCTTATTTCGTCTGTCAGCTACCCCATTTTGCTAAGAAGTATATGACATAGTATATCGAGGTATAGTAGCATGCTCAATACAAAATGCTTTAAATAGCCTTCAGGAATATTCTCCACCCCTATCAGATCTAAGGACTTTAATTTTCAGGTTTATTTGGGTTTCTACCTCGGCTTTATACTCTTTGAAACGGTCTAAGGCTTCAAACTTTTCATTTATAGATAGACGTGGCCATCAATAAAAGTGATAAAGTACCCCTTGCAGCCCTTAGTGGCCACATTCATAAGTCCACAAATATCACTATGCAAAACTTCAAATATGCCAATAGCTCTCTAAGCTTTTGCAAAGGATTTCTTAACCAGCTTTCCTTAAACACATGATGCACAGATTCTGGTTAAGACTCCATTTAGAGCTTTTAATAAGCTTGCTTTCTCTAATCTCTCCATCATTTTAGGATTTATGTCCCCCAGTCTCATGTGCCATGTATATGCATCATCGTTGTTATCATTACAACACGAGACATAAGAAATGGAACTCTTTATTGCAATTGAAAAGAAACCATCTAAAAGTCGACCATACATGACTAATTCATTCCCACATTTCACCTCCACCTTATTACCAGGAAAAATGGTGGAGTAACCTGCCTTAGCCAATTTAGCAACCGAAATCAA